AGGATCTGCATCGTCTGTTCCGTTGTTTGGCAGCAACAGGATGAGTTCTTTTATAGGTCGTAAGTAGACCTTCTTTTCTCCGTCTCTGGCGATTTCAACGCTGGCTTTCCTGACGCTCCCGTCCTCACTCTCTATCGCTTCCGTTACTCGTCCTAGTGGCCAGTTGTTGCGGTGTTGGGCGTCGTCTCGCAAGAGAACGATGTCTCCTACGCGTAGATTTCTCCGAGTCGCCGTCCACTTCGGTCTGGGCTGTAAACTCTGCAAGTACTCGCGACGCCACCTTGTCCAAAATTGGTCGGCAAGGTACTGTACTCGCCTCCAGCGACGGCGTACATAGAGGTCAGGCTGTAAGAACTGACCTGGGGAAGGTCCTGCTGGACGCGTCTTCATCGTCAGCAGCATTGCAGGGGACAGGGGTCGTGGATCGTCAGGATCAGATGGTAGTGCAGATATCGGTCTTGCGTTGACGATCGCCACTACCTCAGCCATCAGCGTGATAAGTAGTTCGTGCGTCAGCTGAGTCCTGCCCAGTTCAGCGAACATGGCGTCCAGTACTCGTCTGATGGTGTTGATTAGCCTTTCCCAGACTCCGCCAAAGTGTGATGCGTGGGGAGGGTTGAGCTCCCATTCGCATCCGCTCTCCGTTACAAATTTCTTCACTTTCTCCTCGTTGAGCTCCGACGATGCATCTTTGAGCTCTGTTTTTGCTCCGACGAAGTTGGTGCCTCGGTCGCACCTGAGAAGCTTGGCATGGCCTCGCAGTGCGAAGAATCTTCTTAGTGCGCAGATGAAGGCACTGGTAGCCATCGCTTCCAGGACCTCTATGTGTATGGCCCTACTGCTAAGGCACGTGAACACCAGACCCCAGCGTTTGGCATTTGCAGCTCCTCCTCTGGTTTTGCGTGTTTGCACCATCCAGGGGCCGAACACATCGTTCTGGCATCTTGCAACAATTCGCCGAATGCTTCTCTCTGTGTGGTACTGATTATGACTCGTAGGGCTTGATCTCGTTCTTCAACTGTCGGGGGTCTGCTCCCAGTTCGCAGGATCCGAATCACTGTCGAAGGTCTGAGTTTGTCTGACACCTTGAGCGGTTCGTTTCTGGGATGAACGCTTCCTGTTTTGGGTTCTCTACGGCGTTTGAACTCTCTGACCACTACAATAAGCCTGGCGACCGCTTGCTGCAGAGACTTAAGGGAAGAGAATCTCTTGAATCTTGGTGCTCCAAGGCCTTTCCCTTTGCCTTTATCAGCGGTGACTTTAGTGCTGAGCACTCCTTTGCGAACCTCGGGATCGTTGGTGCTGAGGGTGAACATTTCATCTGTTTGAAGGGTGCTCTCCGGTTTCTTAAGGAATTCTGGGCTTTTGAGCCAGCTCGATTCCATCAGCTTGTCGGGGGGGACTCCGCGAGTGGCCAAGTCTGCGGGGTTCTGCTCACTCTCCACGTATCTCCACTGCTCGGGGGTAGACAGACTCCTGATTTGCTGTACTCGGTTGGCCACGTAAACGTAGAATCGGCGGCTTTCATTCGCGATGTAGCCGAGTACTACCTTTGAATCAGTGTAGTATATCACCTCAGTGATCTCCATGTCGATTTCTTTAAGGACTCTTTGAGCTGCTTGGACTGCTAGCACTGCTCCGCACAGTTCCAGTCGTGGTATGCTGGTAGGGGTAACAGGGGCAACTTTTGCTTGGCCGTAGACAAGTGATGTCGAGATCTCGTTCGCTTCGTTCAGCTGGCGGAGGTAGACAGCGACTCCTATGGCATCCTGACTCGCATCTGAGAAGGCGTGCAGTTCGGCTCTGGTTACTGTCCCGAATTCTCTTGGGTGGTAGCAGCGGGGAACGGACAGGTGCTGGAGTTCGACGAGAGAGTCTCTCTAACGCGTCCATCTGTTCATCATAACAGTGGGAAGGGGGTCGTCCCAAGCTAAGGGGGTTTTGTTCTCAGCTCTCCGTTCTCCCATAAGTACCAGCTGCTGAAGTATCTTTCTCCCCTCGAGCATGACGGGTGCCACGAAACTGAGCGGGTCGTATACAGAGTTGACAATAGACAAAACTCCTCTTCTAGTAAACGGTTTTTCTGGCAGGGACACTTCGAAGGTGAAGGCGTCTGTCTCTAGGTCCAAGAAAACTCCGAGTGACCGTAGTGCGGGTAGACTGTCACAGCGCAGGTCTAAGTCACGCACATCTTTGCTTCGATCTTCGATTGGGAAGGCTTCCATGACTTCAACGGAGTTAGAAACAACTTTGTGCAGTCGCAACTTGGCAGTGGCCAGGGTGGCTTGCGCGCCTTTCACCAGTTTTATCGCGCGTCCAGCGGTTGGCAGCGAAGCTAAGCCGTCATCTACATAAAAGTTGCGGCATATGAAATTCTTGGTCTCTTCTCCATTCTCCTCCTCGCCATCTACCGCTGTTCGGCGGAGTCCGTACGTGGCGACTGCGGGGCTCGGTCCATTGCCAAACAGGTGAACGTTCATGCGGTACTCCGTGACGGGTTTTGTCGGGTCGTTTCCTTCGAACCAAAGGAAACGAAGGAAGTCTCTGTGTTTAGGGTCGACATGGAACGAATGGAACATTTGCTCCACGTCACACATCACAGCAACATTCTCCTTTCGGAAGCGTATTAGAACACCGATGAGGTTGTTCATCAAGTCTGGCCCTGGTAGAAGCACTTTGTTCAGCGAGACTCCTTGAAATTCGCAACTCGAGTCAAACACGACGCGAATGGTGCGCTTTGTGTTGTGGTACCAGAAACGGCCAGCGGAAGGCGGTACTTTATCGCGCGGGACGGGAGAGGCGTGGCCTTTCTCGATTATCTTCCCCATGAACTCCAAGTAGTCCGTTTTCATCTCCGGTTTTCTGATAAACATCTTCAGGAGCCCTTGCAGGCGCCGCATGGCTTGGGCGCGGTTGTTCGGCATGGACTGGTGCTCGTCGCGGAAAGGGAGGGGCATTTCCCAGTTACCGCTTGCATTCTGTGTATGCCCTTGTCCATGATCTCCAGAAAGGTGCGGTCTTCAAGGGAGAGGCTGGGCTCGTTGTCATGCCGTGTGGTTTTGAAGACACCATCGGCGGCGCGCTCCAAGGGGGGATCCGTGACTTTGAATTGATTCGGGCAGGGGACCAATTCATAGCATTTGCCTTCACCTTCTTGCCTTCTCCGAGTGTCGGTGGACAGACTGGTCAGGCGGGTAAGAACGTGGGCTGGACCACTGGGGAAGTCGAGACAGAGCTGGCCACTGATGGTCCAGCCGAGGGCTAGACGTTGTGCCCAGGGGGCTCCACTGGGGCCATTTCTTGATTCCCTCACTTTAAGTAGCTCTGGTGCATCGCGGCCGATAAGCAGGTGAACGTCAGCG